TGTCACTTCTTCTCATCCCCAAATCTGGCCCTTGTCCTGGACAGTCCTGCCAGCGCCCTGGTAATGACCTGGAACATGCCAGCATGCCAGGCACTGCCTCAAGGCTGGGAGAGTCATGAACAAGGTGGCAGCCTCCTACTGGGGAGTCAGGTAGAAGAGGCGTTGTAGGGTCGGGGAGTGTAGGTCATTTGGGAAGGCTCAGCACGTGGGTTTGAACAGAGGCTTGAATGGATTTGGGGAGCAAGTGGTGTGCGTTATTTTGGGAAGAGCATTCCAGCTGTGGGAACAGCAAGTGCAGAGACCTGTGTGTGGAGGAAATGGACTGTACAGGAGGTGGGGGTCGGGTGGGGTGGGCTGGGCTGAGGGACTGAGGGTGGAGCGGGGAGGGGCCCGGCCACAGCCTTCTGTGACCCATGGTACCGAAGGGTTTTGAGCAGGAGAATAAGGGGATTTTAAAAAGACTCCTCCAGGTGGCATGTGGCAAATGGGTCCTAGGAGGACACAGGTGGGAGCGAGGGACGCTGTCAGTGGCGCAGGAGTGATTCAGGGGGTGACAGTGCTAGGCTGGGTGCTAGTGATGGAAGGGGGTGGCAGGGTTGGGTTGGGACATACTTTGTAGAAAGAACTGACAGGGTTTGATGCATTGGCTGTAACTCTGAGCTTTTTGACAACCAGGTGAATATTGGGGCCATTTCCTGAGCTGGACCACAGGAGTGGGTGTGGAGGTGGGGGTTGAGGGGGGCTGAGGAGCAGGCTTAGCAGGAAGTGTGGGAATCAGGGTCACATCTCAGACCTCTGTCTTGTGTGGGTAAAGGTGTGTTTTTTTAAAAAATATGTAACATAGGCAACTTATTTAAAGTCAATATTTTAAAAAACTTTATTTTTACTGGTTTCAGAGAGGAAGGGAGAGGGAGAGAGAGATAGAAACAGCAATGATGAGAATCATGGATCGGTTGCCTCCTGCACACCCCACACTGGATCGAGCCTGCAACCCAGGCATGTGCCCTGACCAGGAATCAAACCGTGACCTCCTGGTTCACAGGTCAATGCTCACCCACTGAGCCACACAAGCCAGGCTCAACTCTGCCATTCTTATGCAAAAGACGACATAGATTATATGTAAATAAATGCGCCCAGCGCCTTGGCCCCTCTGTAGTCTGAGTCCTGTCTTCACGAGAGCACGCGGTCCCAGCTGTCACATCCTGTCAGTCGCAGGTCTTTTAGCTGCTCTGCCGCTGACATCCGAAGCCCAGGGCCCACTCTCCCATCACAGCCGTCTCCTTCAGTCCCCAACACCTTTTCTTTTCTTCCCAGAGCCTCGGTCTGAGCCCTGTTTCCTGGCCTGGTAGTCCCGGCTCCGTGCTCCCCCAGGGGCCGTTCATCAACACTCACTTCCCTCAGCCCTTTCCTTCCATCCTTCCCACCAAGACAAACCCCAGGCCGGATCGGGGTGACAGTCTCAGGTCCCAGTCCCAGGCTGAGCACAGCTGGTGTAACACCCGCCACCCTGCAGACTGGGCCACTCCCCATCATCCTCACCAGCCTCAGGTTGGGTGTTCATGGCCCCATGTGGGAGTCGGATTCCGCTCCTGTTCTCCCCAAACCCCACAGGTCTCCTTGCGCCCCTTTTGTCACCCCGGCTTCCACCGACACCTCAGCAGACTGCCTGGACAAAGTGTAAGGAAGGAGGAGCAGGGGAGTTAGCCTGAAGCATGCACATTTACACGGGTTGGCGCTGGCAGCTGTGGGGGCCAGCTTTGTGGGTGGTGGGGAGGGGACCTGCAGCAAAGAGGGCTGGGGCATGGCAGAGGGTGGGGTGAATGGCAGAGGGCTGGGTGAATAGCAGAGGGCTGGGGCATGGCAGAGGGCTGGGGGGATGGCAGAGGGCTG